TTCTGTCATAAAAGTGTATTACTAAATATTTCATTATTTCAATAATTGATGAAATAAAACTGGTTTGGGCCAGCTTTTTCCAAGCAAAACTAAATATAATCTGAAAAATCACATGTTAATTTGTTGTCATGAACAAAATGTTCAACTCAATATTAAAGTCTACAGGGATCTTTGGATCCTTACAACCAGGCATGCAATTTGTGAATTAAGTTTTTATTTTATTTTGTATTATTCAAATAAATATCGAAACACGGTGCTTCGTGGTAATGCTGCTAAATTAAATAACATTTATATAATAATTATGAACTTAAATGAAACAATATCGCAACATTTCGACAAATACATTATTTGATCTGTTTTTACATTTTAATTCAGGGCGATTTAGCCTACATTTAATTAGAGCGAGATTTTCACCCTTGTCTTGTCATTTTCTCATTGGGAAGCGCTTCCATTACATGTTTGAGTAGATCCTCTGTACCTCTCGTTTTCATAAGGATTAGCCTACATAATCAGATAACATTTATTAGCCTAAATATTTAGACATTTAAAGGCTTTAGACATAGCCGATTTCTTATCGTGACTGAGCTGAAGTGGCTTTCGGTTCATTTTTGTGACGCGCAGTTCCCGGAGACAGAGACACAGATAGAGATAGGCTATACTGTTTTTGTCGTTAGCCTAATATGAATACAAGTTTACAGTTTTGAACGATGTAAGCTACTCTACTCTTATCTGTATGACCAAAAAATTACGGAGTCGCCTATTAAGTTATTTTAGCTGTAGGCCTAATAATGAGAAAAATAAATTAATCTAAATGAACACGCCGCCGCGTTTGTCGAACACTAACTCACCATGCCAGAATAAAACCCGACTTTAGAAAAATGCATAGGGCCACTCGGCGTGGTGTGCCAAACACTTAATTATAAACTTCAATATTTCATTCAAAATAATCTCATCAACACGCTTTGTGAAATGTTTAAAAGCCGTGCATGCATTAGGGCCACTGGAACTAATGAACAACTGAAACGCTGGTTTTGATTTTATTGTTTGTCGTTTAAACGTGCCTGTTGCATATCTCTATTTTATATATTTGATATTGGTGAAGTAGCCTATAGCATTGATTACTGTGGAGGGAGGGGTGTGGGGATTAAAATAATTCAGCAGAAGCAGGGATGTTTAGACCAGAAGGAAATCCCAGTCCCCCCTGGCAAATCACACTTTACTTAAAACCATGTTTTTAAAAACTCTAGGTTGTAGGGAACAGACCTCTCTGCCATGCGCGCGCACGGTTTGGAGCACAATATCTGTCTTGCATGCACGCTCGCTCTAGATAGATTACGGGATATTTTAACTAATTTGCGGTATAACTAGTCGATCACGAGTGGCTCAACAGGTAGATCTATAGATAAACTATATCTTTTAGAAATTTGACCGACCGGTTTGACACTTCAGCGTGAGAAATCGGGGGTGTGGCGTGAGAGCGTGAGATTTGGGTGAATTGCGTGAGTCTCACACTCAGTGCGTGAGAGTTGGCAGCCCTGAAAAAAAAAAAATATATAGTATATATATTAGGGCTGTCAGTTAAACGCGTTATTAACGGCGTTAACGCAAACCCATTTTAACGGCGTTAATTTTTTTATCGCGCGATTAACGGTCTTTTTGGCCTAGCAAACTTTGTAGGTTTTTTTTCACATGCTTTTGCAACAGGACGGCATGCGGGCCGCTGCGCTATGAAACCCATTCATTTCAATGGTTTGTGGCGCGCGAGGACGTTTTGAAAGCGCAAGCGGATCTAGCTAGACCGGAAACAAAACAACAGGCACGCCGCACACACTTGTTTGGGCTTGCGAGCCGGATGCGCGAGCGCGAATCTCTCTGCTCGCGCGCGGAATATAATGTGCCGAGAACGAATCTCTCTGCTCGAGTCGCGCGCTCTCAGATACACGCTGCTCTTGTAAGAATTTTCTCTGGGCTCACTCAGAGAATATGCCTGCACTTAAAACGTGTTCAGTGCAATCGCGAATCTCTCCTCTTCCCCAGCTAACAATTTTAGGTTATAAGAATGTTTTCATAACGTTCCCATTAAGTTATAAAAACGTTATTTCTGAATGTTATAGGAACGTTCAAAACGTCCAGTTTTGAGTGGATGACGAGCGTGAGACGCCAAAATGGATGCCAATAAGATTCTGAATGGAAAGTTTACTTTTAAAAAGTTGCCAAATGGTTCCATTGACAAGACCAAAGTGATCTGTGTGTTTTGTCGTTGTGAACTGAGCTATCATCATCGCAGCACGTCCAGTCTGAATACCACTTGATGATGGCCAGCACACACACACACACACACACACACACACACACACACACACACACACACACACACACACACACACACACACACACACACACACAGCTGATGCGAATTCTCCGCCCCCTCGTCAATATCAGGACCTCGTCAGTATTTATTTCACCCTTTTATTGATGGACAGTGTTATATTGTGTGAGAGATTATTTGCTCCAAGTGATAATGTTTTAGTGTGAAATTGAACAGTATATGCCAATATTGTTTTCAATAAAAAACATTTGCACAAAGCAAGCCGATCCACTTTTCCATGTTGATAAGAGCATTAAAATGAGAAAAAAATAATGGGACAAAAAGAAATCAAGAGACATTTAGAATAGATAAAAATGTGCGATTAAATGCGATTAATCGCGAGTTAACTATGACATTAATGCGATTAATCGCGATTAAATATTTTAATCGTTTGACAGCACTAATATATATATATATAGGCTATATATAATTTATTTATTACAGAACTGCTTTTGAAATTACGATTGGTAGCCTATTATTATACAGATGCAAAGTCGTTCTGTTGGGTACTATTTTGTGTGTAAAATGGAAATGCATGATAATTGTATTTTATATATATAAGCAAAAAAACTGTATGGTGTAACAGAGTTTTAGAGCTAGACAAATCTAAATAAATATAAAACATACAACAGACCAGGCATGTGCGGGATTTGAACCCGTGTCATCTTGATGATTAACCGTAAGTTCTACCGCTCGGCTATGAATTTTCTCTCTGATACATACCCGAACGTCTGTTTCTCACATGAGCGAGAAAACGCTTTGTCTTTAGCCTGTGAGTGTAGGCCTACTTTAGCCTTTTACAGTTTTAAAAGATTATATCTTATCTGTATGACCAAAAATTACGGAGTAGGCTATAAATGTTTGTTGTAGGCTTATTTGGAAATTACCATAACTTGTAGTATTTCATCCTTAGGCTACAGACATTAGCCCCACTTACGTTTTGCTAAATGTCCCTTTGCGCCACCTGGCGGTCATTTCGCGAACGACTTTGAAATGCGACTGGTTTATTTTTTACCGTGGTGGATGGCTAAAAGGTGACTAAAAATGTGCTTTTGGCTTTCATTTATATTTTGATTGTTTGTATATATATATGTGTGTGTGTGTGTGTGTGTGTGTGTGTGTGTGTGTGTGTGTGTGTGTGTATAAATATTTATTTATTTATATATATATATTGTCCTTGCATTCTTTCTTGTGTGACACCCCTGAATGAAAGGCTCATTAGTATGCAGTCTGCTCAGGTGCGAACTGCCTAATTATTCATGAGGGGGTTGGGTCGTTCACGCCCATCCGCATATTGCCTTTGCAAACAAAAAATGTTTTTCACAATTTAAAACAATCTATTGTTTTATGTGAATGATTAGGCAGAATGATTTTCAGATCAATTTGAAGCAAAAACTCTAGGCAACAACATCCACTAGTCAAAAGTCTTGTGGACAGATATTTAGTATGTTATTTGTGGCCTTATATTAGAAACTTTATTTTTTCGTTTTTTCAATAACCACGCATTAACAATATTCTCTCAAAAATACAAACATGTACATACATGTTGCTCACATATTATGGTAGCCCTGTGTGTGCAATATAGAGTGTAATTTCACCTGTGCCATTAATATGTTTATAAGCAACTGAAAAAAGCAGAAATGTCAGAGCATGCCAAAACATCTCAAGGACCGCGAAAACACCTCAGACCCCAGAGGGTTAAAAGCTTCCTCCAGATGTTTCTTGTGTGCCTCCTTTGCCTTCCTCAATTTTTCTCTCAGTTCTTTGTCTGTTTTTTGTAGGTCCCTTCTATCTTTATTTTTAAAAGCCAATTTCCTCAAGTTCATTACTTGTTTAATGTCTTTGGTTACATACATTTTATTATTGGGGTACACCTTAACTGTTTTGTGGGTATGATAGACTGTACACAGAAGTTAATATAATCTGTTGTTGCAGTGCAAGTTTCTTCCAATGTGTCCCCCCTCAGCACTTGCCAATCCGTGCAGTCAAAGCAAGTATTGTCTCTTTCTATCATTGATTGTTTATTAAAATGAGTGTATCTTACAACCTAATTTATGTAAACAGTTCAAATCAATTGTATGTAGTTTTAAAGTGTTTTATGCAAGTTTTTTACATTGACAAGTTTGAGGTTGACATTTGTGATATATCTGTATTTAATAAAATATGTAGGAAAAAAAACGATTTTAATTTTTTTGTTTACTGCACTTTTGAGCTATTTATCTAGTTACTATTGATTTATTACATACATAGCCTTCAAATTGGGGGTATAAGGATTGTTTTGATGTATGGTATATGAAAATCCTCAAAAGAATGACAGCACAGCATGTAGAAATACTAAGATATACTCTGGCGGAATTGTTTAAAAGGTTAATATAAAGGCTGTTTTGGTTTTACACAATGTTTGTCTGCTACACAAGAACTTCAAATAATTAAAATTGTTTGAATGGACTGTTATACTCTCTACAAAGTTTTCCTCAACTTATTTCAGGAAATAAACTAATTGAGCACATTATTTTGTTGTTGGAGGAAAAAATATTTCCAGTAAATAATGGCTTTCATTGGAAAGTCTATTGCATGGATTACTTGTGTGATGCATTTTAAACCAAATTGCCCAGGTAGGAGTTGTACTTACCATCATCTACTAATTCTATTTCATGATCTTTGTCCAAGGAGGAAGACGAAATATTTATTTGATCACCACCTTTTCCTCGAAGCTGCCCTTCCTTCACCCTTTAATATAGAAAGACAGAATCATGTATTCCTCCCCGGTGAGATGTGCTGTGATATTGAAACAGTGCAGTTAAATTAAGGGCAGTTGCTTATTTATTGGGGAACAGCGCCATCTGGCGTGTTCTCACCCCCTTTATTCTGTTGTTATATGAAAGAGTGCACCTGGGTCAAAATGTTTTAAAAAACAACAGTAAATTATGGACAGAGCAGTGAAAAGTGAAAAAAAAAATCATTGCAACAAGTTAGACCGAAGCATATTATTCAACAATAAGGGTACAGGGAGAGATACTAACAAACGGCATTTCTACACATCCAGCTGTAATTCTATTTCTAAAAAAAATCAATAGTATCTATCAAAAGTCTTTTTCGGAATGGCCATAACTAAAGCGCTGCAACATTCAATTTGTTCCACAGCCAGCTGTGTTTTTCTGGACTGAAACCAGTAATAAACATATTCAAAAAGTGTAAGATGAAGCAAAATCAGATGTGTGGTGTGAGATGTCCCTTTTATTATAACCACGGTGGCCTTGAGCAAGGCACTGACCCCAGGCTACACACTATACCTGTAATGTGCTGCAAATGGCTAAAGGAACATCTGTTTCTGTGACTTCAATATCTCTCTAATAAACTCTGACATAAGGCCCTGCAAACCTAGACCTCACTCACCATGTCATCAGTTTCTCAGTGTTTGTCCTTATCCTGCGGTAAAGACAAAAGAAAGTCAGTTTAATACAGGAGTTCTTATAACACACAAAAGATGAAGGTGCTTCAGAAGAGGAAGATGAGGAGTAACTTCAGGATCAAGGACATTCAGGTTGTATTAAATAAATGCACAAAATCACCTGGGCTGAAAGGATGCAATTATGACAAATAATATATTAGAGCTGTCAATTTATTGTGTTGATTTCATTCAATTAATTATGGAAAATTGATTTAATGAAGTAAAAAAAACTATTTGAAGCCGCTGCAATACTCACATATCAAAAATCCCCTTCAGTGTTTGCTTCAGACCTTCTTCTCTGAAATCATATCTCAAGATATTAATAGATGTGCAATGTTGCTTCTCAAGTAAATTCATCTTGTTTTAATTGGAAAATGATACAAAACTATTTATTAAGAATACAGGTTGCAGTGTAAAAGGCAGGATAGTTATAACCATAAGAGAACGTTTGTTCAGTTCACTGCTGATGAAACTGATTTACAGAGAAAAAGAGATGCAATTTAAAGAAAAGTTTGAATGGAGGCTATGGAGTATGCAGGGGTGTGTGGAGTTTTTATTCTGATGGTATTGAGTTCTCTCACAATCATTTTAATGAGTCCAAAAGACAAAGCTGTAATGTGTGTGTGTATTTTGACACACCTGTTTGTTCTGTTCTCTGTTGAGACTGTCTGAAGATCAGTTAAAGAGAGGAAGTCACAGTTGAAGTAATGCAGCTGAAGAATGCAGGCCAGAAGGAAGAACGCTGGCCGTAAGATTCGTGCAAACAGTTCAACGGTATCAAACTGTTCTAACCCAAGGTCTCGTAACCTGGCAGAGCGAACACACGGATTTCATGTGTAAAAGCGGTCTCGTAATCATATGTTCCTGCTATCAGAAAACTTCTTAAATGGTTCTAAGAAATGATTATCTTAATGGCAGTACTTGCCTTTCCTCTGTTATGCCTAAAATCTGTTGGAAGAGGTTACAGACACTTTTAAACTGGTATACGTAGATCAGGATCAAAACTAGAATAGAGTATCCAACCACAACCGCCCAGAAATACTTCAGTTGACTTCTCCATACTTCATAATGCACCTGGACAAAACAGTTACATCAATATTCAAGTTAAACAGAATTCACAACCCATTTTATGTGAAATTAAAATCAATGAGAGAACAAAAAAAACAAAAAAGATAGGGAGTCTAGTGACTTTAATTTATGCATCTGGAAATGATTGGATGGTGAAAAGTGGGCGTTCCATTAAAAACATTTTATAATTCCAGTCAAATTTGAAAGCGAGTTTCCTCGCTAAAATGGCCAGGGGCATAGTAGACACCGTTACGACGCGGTGATGAGCTCGAAAGAGCCTCGTGTCTCCTTCACGAAGCATGTGTACGCACACATTTGTGCGTGAAATCTATTTATATAGTGAAATTGGCGAGCATTACATTGAGTTTCTGCATTAAGGACAGTTATTTTGAATTGTTAGAGAAAAACAAGAAATTTTTATTGCATCTGCAGGCTGGCTAATGAATGGATCAGAAATCTCTGGTTTTGAAAAGGTTGCTACATGGTCTCACCTCGTACAGAACCACACCGAAAAGGAATAAGCAGATATAGAGAATTTTGTAGACTGCCACTTTGTCTGAGAAACTGACAAAGAAGAACATGAAGCAGCAGCAGAAGATCCAGTACTTCACCAACATGCCTTTCACTGATCCTCCCAACACAGTCATCATAGCAGAGCTTGGACTGTTCTCACCTGGAATAGAAACACACATTTACACAACATATGAATTATTTTGCAAGTGAGCTGTTATATTTTCAAACAAACATGACAGACATAAGACTTAAAGACATAGTAATCCACTGTCATTTATAGAAACAGCAGCATTTTCTATCCCTTGACATCAACTGAAATTGATGTAATTGAGAAAAATTCTGATTTAAAAAAACAGTAACTAAAGTCTAAGCTTCTGTTTACACCTGGTATTAAGTAGCATTTTCCTCAATCTGATCACAAGTGGACGACGCTATATACAGGTGTAAATGGGGTCTAAGATGTTTTGAGCTCGTCCACTTTCAAACACTTCCAGCATTGCACCGGATTGCGTTCATAGTTCAGTCAAGAGGTCGAATGCGCTCCAACAGCCACAAAAGATCGCCAACTCTCCCCGTAATGCGTAAACATTAGTGTGTAACACATAGACCCTCTAATAAATCAGGACAGAAGTGGTCAAAAGTGGACACAAGAGATGGATTAAAAAAACAAGCGTAAACAGCGTAACCTCGTCTACTTGTGATCCGATCTACCAAAGTGCATCTTAACCAGGTGTGAACAGGTTCTCTTATGAGAGTATCTCTCATACTGCGTAATATCTTACGCTATGGGGAAAACCTCTTTTCCTCGAGATATTGAAGCCAAAAAATATCCTCAATTTTGATGTAAAACGCGTTGCGACAGCATGCAGACATAGGCAAGGCGGCTCGCGTGCCTATTGGCTGACCTGTGGCAACAGCAGCAGCCTATCGAGAGAGGCCCAGAATAGGCGTGGCCTTGGCCTATAAATATAGCTCGACAGGCTGATCCAAACTGATTTTCATCTCTTCAGCGAAGCACTACTGCAACGCTGGATCCAGAGTGAGAAGCCGCGCCGTCTGAGAAAAAGCCTTCTGCGGGACGAGCCTTTGAGCCTGAAGCCGCTGGCCTTCACCTCGCCGCCTTCAGCCGCCGTTCCTGCTACGCTTTCCGGCGTACTATATATCCTTTACTTTGCTCTGTGTGTGTGTGTGTGTGTGTGTGTTCGCCCCGCGACTCACACGTCTATACATCTAAAAGAGCCGCATCTTTTTAAAGATGCCATCCTCCTGTGGCTCGTGCGAGCCCCACTCAGCGACAGGGACTGCCATGTGAAAATATGCATTTCCTGTCTGGGAGAGGATCATGCAGCTCTCGCGCTCGCCGACGGCTTCACTCGAGTCGCTCACTGACGGATAACGGCCGCCGCGCGCCGCCGCTTTCGCCATTAATGATGACGAGATAGCTCAATCTGTAGAGAAGGCCAGCTGCTCTATCCTGGCGTCGGACAGTGAGGATTGGGCGAGCTCTGTGCACCTCCCCCCCTTCTGTCCGCGAGTCGTCAGGGAAACGGGCCAGCATCAAGACCGCGCGGCTAGCTTTCTTTACATTATAAGGAAGCTACCCCGCCCCCCGTGCAGGGCTCGCACAAACAAAATCGATTGTGCGCTAAATGTAGTGAATGTGCCCACGTCTCAGTGCGAGTCGAAACCACAGTAGACAACGAAGTATCTCATCTACTTCGAGCCGAAATAGAGAAATTACTGAGCAAAGGGGCCATAGAGCCTTTATCTCAGGCTCAGAGCGAAGGGGGGCTATACAGCAGATATTTTCTGGTACCGAAAAAAGACGGGGGTCTCAGGCCCATTCTAGATCTACGACAGCTGAACAGAGTGCTTTTGAAGCGCCAGCTCAGAATGCTGACAACCAGGAAAATGACTGAAGATCCCAGTACGCACGGCGTGTTGCATTGTGTTCCCCATAGCGTAAGATATTACGCAGTACGAGAGATACTCTCGTAAGAGAACGTACTCAGTTACTAATGTAACCTCGGTTCTCTCTAGAGAGGGAACGAGTACTGCGTATCTTGCCGTGCATACAACAGCACTGGTTCGCTTCAGCGATGAAAACCAGTTTGTATCAGCCTGTCGAGCTATATTTATAGGCCAAGGCCACGCCTATTCTGGCGGGACGTGACGTAAATGGGCGCGAAGCACCCCCATTGGGTATCACGTCACGCAGGGCCTCTCTCGATAGGCTGCTGCTGTTGCCACAGATCAGCAAAAAGGCACGCGAGCCGCCTTGCCGTTTTACATTGATTCAAAATTAAGGATAATTTTTGGCTTCAATATCTCGAGGAAAAGAGGTTTATCCCATAGCTTAAGATATTACGCAGTACTCGTTCGCTCTCTAGAGAGAACCGAGGTTACGTTAGTAACCGAGTACGACTTAAGCTGGCTTGTTGGTCTTAGCTGATCTCCCTAAGCTGATTTAGGGCACTTTTCAGTTAGGAAAACTAGCTTGGCTAAGATTTAAGAAGACCTTGAACAAGCTAAGACCATCATAAACAACCGTGGCCACAACTCAGCCCAGAATCTCAGTGAAGACGTGGACACTTTGACAGGCCCTCAGGACAGATCTCCTGTGAAGACCCAGTCGACTAGACGGCCCTTGGCACAGATCCTCAGGAAGACAACGAGAACCGAACAAGTCCTCTGCACAGACCCCTATGGCCAGCTTCTACTATTCCCACTAAATATAGGAAATGGCATATCAATCTTCAAGCAGAAGGAGCTGGGTGAAAAATTCTGAATCATATCAATCCACAATCTGACAGCCTGGATTAAATCATTCTATGTTTGTTCACTGGCCAACCCTCACTGAGCCTTGTTTCTCCCAGGGTTTTTTTCTCCATTTCTGTCAACAAAACCACAACCACATGCTGTATATCATGCACAGATTCTGTAAAAAGAAATAATAAGCAAAAGATCAAAAAGATATCCATACATGGTTGAACTTTGACCTCCGTTAAATCATCCGTGCTCTGTAGCTCCTCTTTTTTTTCTTTCAGTCGTTGCCGAAGTAAAATCCAGAAACTAAACGTAAAAGAAACCTGCAAAGAAATCATTAGATTTTAATACAGATATGGGACGTTACACATATCTATAACACATTATATACAAATTAGTGCTGTCAATCAATAAAAAAAACAAATTAATCGCACATTTTTTGAGAATTAATCACGATTAATAAAACCTAATGTTAAAGTTTTTATTATATATTTTTATATTGTAATAATTGCACATTTAATATCCAAATTAATGTAGAAACAACATAAAGACTGTGGCCTATTTAATGGCATCTGTTGAATGAAAGTGTGCCTCACCGACCGCCAATAAGACCAATGACTTTTAATTGAAGTGAACTTAACACAATCTTCACATAAACCCATTATAATAAATGTCCCATTTAGCTGTGCCCTTCAGTATATCAGGGCTCATATTAACCTTCAGTATATCAGGGCTCATATTAACCTTCAGTATATCAGGGCTCATATTAACGCGCCTTCTTCCCTTTTGTCTCATCGCGTGTGAATGGTTTAAAAGCATTTGTTTGAATAAGAGCGTGATCATACATTTTAACGCTAGCCAAAGGATGACAGAAAAAAATCGGGCGATAACTGCGTTAAATATTTTTAACGCATTAAACTGAAAAACATAATCATGTGCGTTAACGTGTCAATTTTGACAGCACTAATAAAAATACAATATCAAACAATGTTGAAGATAAACATGAAGTGAAAACATAAACACTTTAATTGAACATCGGTTTTCAGATAGTTCCCAGGTCAAGGAGTTCTCGACTGATTATTACGATGATAAATAGCAGATAACTGGTTTAAATAAAGCAGTGCCTGGGGGAACAGTGTGAAAACACTTGCCAGTGCCAGTTTTTTCCAATATCGTACAACCCTAGCTGGTCCAGATGAACTTTCTTAAATTTTTTTAGTGTTTACCATGTAAAAAATGTAATAATACTGATAACAGGTTGTGTATAAATAAAAAAGTTAGGATTCAGAATTGTTTCATGTGCTTTTTATTTATTCAGAAAGGTAGAGGGGAGGAGGCAACATATATTTTGCCCAGGGCCTCCACATGTCTAGAACCGGTCCTGGAAAGAGCAGCACAGATTTGGTTTTTTTAAACCAGCTCATCCACTAGATGAGAATGAGTGACTCTTGAACCGGGAGAAGTGGAATAGCTGGAGTGAAATATCCAAGTTATCTAATATTTATTTGAAGCATCAAATTACTTATTAAAAGGTGATGTATACTCTATGTTTGATCACTAAATATCTGATCTACAAATATTAATTTCAATGCTTCTGTAATTATTTGATTGTTTGTAAAATAAAGATACTGTGCTGTTCAGAAGAATATTTGTGAAGCTATTACACTCATGGGTTATGTCCGAAATCGCCCCCATACTCTATTGCCTACATTACTCCACTAATATGGTTCACTTGAGGGAGTGAAAACCAGTGAGGGAACTCGGACACTGAGTGCGTCGGAAGAGCTGCCGCTTTCGCATAGTTTGATCTTGCTGTTTAATAATCATTTTAAAGTCCGTAAACTGGCAGCTCCAGTCGTAAGATGAAAAGGTTTATACATGCTTGAGTTCAAGATAAATCTTAATTAAACAATTGAATAATCAATTAAAAAGGGATTTATACTCGTATGATGTTATGCCATAGCCACATTAGATCAGAGGTTTAGAAAATGGATGGATGGATTATTCAGCTGCGGGCGTAGCCGTTGAGTGTTCATCGATGGTAAACTTGTTATTGCAGTGCATTGTGGGATTGAATGAGTTCACTCAATAACGTCCACTATGGTCTTGGAAACCACTACAAATGGCTGTCCCCTCAAATAGTGCCCTATTTAATGGCGATTTCGGCATGACAACTGCTCTCACTCCTGTAGCGGCGATGTGATCGTAATAGACAATTATTGTCATTCAGATATAACAACACAGTGATGTTTGTCCTTAAACAATTAATCGTGCAGCTCGACACTGAGAACACTTTGTTAATCACAAGATGTGTGTTACATACCTTTGCAGCGAGGTGCACACAGGGCACTGGATAACCATACACATCAAAGTCAATCAACACAACCCTCGGTAAAGCAGGGAAAATGTCAATATGTTTAAGATGGAGTTGACTGATGAATGTAACCACTAGCAGCAATGTCCCATAGACAGCGAGAAATGGAGCACTAAGCATAGCGAACCGCCGCCGATCCTTCAACATCCAGATCGCACACGACCACACCAGTAACATTAATGTGAGCCATGAGTTATAGCAGATGCTCCATACCTGCACACATATGAAGAAAACAAGCATGTAACTTGAGCAGGTGCCCTTCATTTCATGGAACAAGGCTTGACTCGAGTGGGTGTATCTTCCAATTTGGGAAATATGTTTTTCGTCATTAAATTAAATGAATTAAATCTGTTGGATATTGGTCTATAAAATACAGCTTTTGTCACAGCTTCTATATATGTAATGTATGCATTTTGATCAGATGATTAAAAAAAACGCCCATCCCAGTTTGAAAACGACTGATTAGCCACCAGCCATTCTGAGCAACCTGTAAAGGTGTTATGTTGAACCGTTTTTTCCTTCTCTATAATCATCTATAAATATCAAAAGGTCAGAAAATACTCAGATTATACTGCAAGCATGAAGCAACATTCTGCCCTAAACACTACGTTACCATCGTGATGATGAGAGCGATTATATAGCTCTGTTTCATGATGACCTGTCCCAGCTGGACCGAAGCACTGGGTCCAGGCCGATCCGTGGAAGGCAGAGGGTCCACCTCATTCAATATGTCATTGTCTCTGTTACAGCTTTCATTCTCCACAGTGTATTCTGTGGATGCATTTAACACACAATCACACACACAGATTCTAAAATGTGAACAAAGCAAACTTAATAAATAGATGTGAACAGTGTAAATCTCCAAATATTTTAGGAGTATGACGTTTGCACGCCATTACCTGTATATGTATCTGTGACTGTTGCAATGACAAAACTATATCTAGCTTGCAACAGTCCAGAAAGTTTAGTTATCAGCACTCGCCTCCTTCCCAGATCCTCTATGCATTGAGTTATCGTCTAGCCTTTAGTCATAGCTGACCTTGTTCTCATTCTCTCTTCTGTCCTGTTGTTTTGTGTGTATTTGGGCACAATGTACACATGAATAATGTAGACTTTCTAATTACTTTTTAATGTACAATAAGAGATCTTCTGTGTGTATGGGGATAAAGCCAAGCAATTTGGGTAGTCATCCTCCAGAATCAGGGAATTCACCCCAGAATCTTCGTGGTCTTGCCACGTCCTCTTCCACTCCAACACCATAGCCTAAAACATGGCAACAACAGCACAGAAAGCAGATGCTTAAATCCTGGTATCACTATTGAGTTTCTATTCCATGTAGCACTGCAAGTAACTGCTCTAATTATGCTTAAATGCAACCTATGTAAGATTTTTTTATCAAAATATCCAAAAACCACTAGAACAATGTTATACATTTTGTTGATTTGTGTACTTACATTATCCCAAATGTTTCTAAGAATGTTTAAATCCAGAGAAATAAGCATAACTTGTTGGCAAACTGACTCTAAGATGAGATGGGTCATGTGCTCGTCACATGATAGTGGGGCAGGGAACAGCCAATCACATCATGAAACATGAAACTATATACTACGTCCTAAAAGTATGTACTCATTTTGTGAAGAAAAAGTAGATACTTTTGAGTGTGTAGCAAAAGAGTACACAAAGATTTGGGACATACTAACACATACGATTGCCTCTTTAGCGGTTGCTCTCTGTTGCATTCTGTCACAGTAAACTGACCTGTCAATCATCTTGTCAAAGATTAAATCCTCCACATTTCATTTCATTTCATTTCCTACCGTATCGGACAAAAATGGAGTAGCACATTGTTCTGCCAGTCACGGGTCTGAGATTTCGCCTCATATTAATACATAATAATGGATTTAAAAGTCAATAGCCAAACGGATCTTTATAATAATTAAAATATATATATATATTAGGTTAAACTTTGATTAGTCACTCAAACCTTTATCTAAACCTTTCACCATCGGTCGCGCATATCCGCCATGTTTTGTTGTTTTTTGACACTTTTTACTCGTGTTTGTAGTTCCTCCTCCAAAGCGCAATGGGTTGTGGGTAATATTAGCCTTTATAGTGAGCACGGATCCACACTACGAAAATCCACTGGAAATAGTAGATCATCCGGGGCATTCTGGCATACTCTTTTCAACATACTATGCTTTGTCACACATTTATTCTAATCTCACATACTATTTAGGATGGATAGTATGGACACTGAGATGCAGGGACTGTGAAAGTGCACTTTACTTTTCGTATGAGAGTCAGCTGAATATCACTACTCACTAATGTATGCACTCCATATTTCGAAGCGGGTGTAACTGATTTGGGATATGTTTGTTTTTGTCTTGGGTAAAAGCTGGCCAAGATAACCACCTGTCAAAAGTACATGATACTGTCCTGGAAATTGCAAAGAGGTCATGAAAAAAATGAGGAAGAGGAAGGCTCAAAGGGGTCAAGGTGGCAAGTTGGGGACATTGTAGACCAGGGGCAAAAAATGGAGGAAAATTTAAAATACCAGGCTGAGCCCTTTCACCTTTTTTACGAAAAGTAAACATGGACCACTTAACACCATACATAGACCTAGAGCACAAGGTGCCTCACAAATGGACTTGCGCCAGAAAAAAAACCCCAGACATATATATCCTGCCCCCTCCTGTAAGCTCTATGTGATCGATAGCCGTAATCCCACACACAACTCCCCTGCAGCCTCACGTAGGCCCAACATGTTTATGTTGTCCTCCAGTCCACTGCTGAACAATGTCTTCTTTCTTGCTCCACACAGTCCCCACCTGCTCAGAAAGTGGTGGTGTGTCAGGGGCATCGCTAGGCCATTTTTAGATGGGCGTCAGCCCCCCTTAAATTTCTACCCAAAAATTCTGATTAGCTCCATAATATGTTCACAAATTCATGAATTAGTCCCCTTTAAAACTTTTAAAACGGCGGCATGCTTCGGCCCCTCCCCGACTGCCATGTGGCATGGGAATCACAAAGGCTTAAGAAAGAAACAAACCTTCCCTGCTTTATTAACCATGTAAATAATAAGGGTCTATTGCTCGTGATCATCACCTAATGGCAGTGTTCCCCATCGCTGGTCCTGGAACCTGTCCTGTGAATATAGTGGCGAGTGCACAATTTGCTGTGTGTGCTCAAAATGGATAGTCTTTACAGAGACTTCATGAGAGCAATTATTTTTATTTCTATTGATAAATGATATCTTACCTCTTTTCTTTCAGGCTGGAAATGGTGAATTTTGGAAAAGCTTGATTGGATGCTGGAGTCTTCAGAATAGTTTTCAACATTTTCCTGAGCATGGTATATATTCGGGTTACAAATGCAGATAAATAGACAAACATGTACACAATTGCCTTTTTTCCAGTGTTTTCAGCAATTCTTTTGGAGTGCAAAATAAAATAGTTTTACTCAGTTGCATTAAGTAGCAGTAGTGACTGCAGTAATATAAGTAAGATTCGATTACAGGATTGCGAGGTGTTAAAAACAAGTTAGGTAGCAGCATTTTGGATATGTTAGAGCAGTGGTTCCCAACCCTGGTCCTGAAGTGCCCCAGCACTGAACATTTTAGATGTCTCCCTAATCGATAAACACACCTGTGTAGCAAAAAGCACATTCTAGGGCCCAGTTTAATGATAGGGCTCCCTCTCTGACTGCAACAGTGAAGAAAGGTTTGCTACATTTCGATTGGATTGTCCAACATTATCAGATAAGGATGCTAAGACAACTGACAGACACCTCAAACGTTGGACTTTTCATTGATCCACAGGCAATTTCTGCCCTGCACCCATATTGAGACTTATCCCTAAGGTTATCACCCATATAACCATAAAAATCCTTTTAGATGCAGCAGTGGTGGCTTAAAAAATTAGAGGCCACACGAATCCATCTAAATCTATTCATAACCATGTTTAAAATCCTTTAAAATGATGTAAACTACAACACATCCATTTCATTTTTATTCAAAGAAATAGTGGGCCACATGGGGTCTTAGGAACTCGACGTACACAATTGCCTACACTGAAATGACGTATTTTTTTATAAGCACCTTTGTGCTTATGCAGAAGCAGTGAGTATAAACCAGGCTTAAGAGGTCATCTCACAATTTTACACTCACATTAAGTGGTGTGACCAAAACTCACAATATTAATTTGGTGCCACCTGTGAAACTCCAACATAACTGGGGTCTTGTGTGAGGTAAAACTGATACACCTTATCAGCTCGTTAGCAAACTCCAAGACCTCAAATTAGTGTGTCAGATAAGAGAGACATCAAAAATGTGCAATGTTGGGGTTGGACCACGGATTGAAATCACTGTCCTAGAAGTGTTTCAATCATGCTGTAGGAGGGTCACTTTCCTGCAGAGTTCAGTTTCAACTTGCCCTAACACACCTGCCTGGAAGTTTCTAGTTATATTGAATATTTTTATTAGTTGGTTCAGATGTGTTTAAGTAAGGTAGGAGATAAAGGTCTAGCTTCCAGGAGAACGTGCAAGCACTTCCTGAAATGTATAGCGAGAGAGTGATGAGGGTGAAATACCCCTAATCCTCATTCAGCTTGCAGACGGAAACGTATATATATATATATATATATATATATATATATATATATATATATATACTGTATGGCGTATGCACTTATCTGATGTTAAACTCTGCAGAAGGTGATGGTAGCCCTCCAGAAGAAGATTTAGACACCACGCCACATAGAAACTTTTTTTTTTTTTTTTTTTTGCCTCATGTCTGTGCATGTGTGAAGTGCATTACAGTACCTCCTCGACAGATTGATTCCACTTTTGTAGTAAACTCATTACTGAAAAATACAGCAGTAGGAGCATTAGTGGGTTCATTATTGCAGGCCAGCTGCCATCTTCATGCAGAGCCAGGATATACGGTTCTGACATGTTGGTCTGGATGAGCGCTGTCAAACCAAACAACCTGGAAAACAGACATAGATATTAGATGCAAACAGATGCTGAATGTGTTTTGGTAAGGTGTTGGACCAACAGCTTCAATGTGCCTTGACCCTGCAAGACTTTGGGACTCTACTGGTGTCACGTTTTGAGTTCTGTTCATGTTTAAGGGTGCTTTCAACACTGGGCTCATTAGCTGCGGTCCGAACCCGGGCGTGATTGTTCACGACAGCGTTGGTCTGGTTTCACACTCAACTTGATTCTATCGAACTCTGGTGCGTTTGCATGCATCTTATGTCTTCAGACTCACTCTTTCTCGTATCCAAGGTAAATCATCAACACTATCATCCCTTACATGTGTTTTATTTAACTAAATACATCATAATCAGTTAAAAAGCATGCGCAGGATACTTTACTTCCTGAACAAGTGCGCACCCGAGTCTGTGTTGTTTTCACATACACTCGAACTGCGGCACGGTTTGGGAGCAACTGAACTCAGACCACCTCCTCCAGGTAGTCTTGGGTTCGGTACCACAGTGCCCACCCAGGTCCACATGACAGCGTTCACATTAACGAATGGTTACTGATTGTGTTAGTTGAGTTCAGGTGTGTCTTGTTAATCAGTCTAATCAGTTCCTTTCTGTTGCCGGTGTATTATAGCCAGAGTTTAATCCTTTCTAGTTGTCTGTCGTCGTCGCTGTTAGGCTGGTTGTTATGTCCTGAGTATCTTTGTAAGTTTGAGTTTATGATTAATGAAGACTGCTGCATATAGATGCTGTTTCCTCTTAGCTGCAACCAGACCCGTGACAAAACGACAGACCACTTAAAGATGGATCGACCAGCAGTGCATTTACGATGTCTGGATCAGGACAAGCTTTCCCTTGAGGCTCACACCGTTGCGTTCCTCGACCTGGTGTGCCTTACCTCCTTCCCCGATTGATCATTGAGTGTCTTTTTCCTCACAAGCCTTAACGCTTGTCTGGTGTCGGACCTCGTGAAAATTTTGCTGCATTTTTGGAGTGGGTGCTGGCTACCTGTGGGTCACAGTTCACATCGGCCTTTCCAGCGAACGTGAAACCGAGTCCGTTCCAGAGTCTCGTCATGTCGTGGCCACCCTTCCAGTGTCTTGTCCAGTCATGGCTGCTGTAGGAAACTCAGAAGCGAAGACCAGGAGACTCGGTTGTATCTTCAGCAGGATTCTTTATTGAGAACACGAGCTATTGGTAGCTGCAGTTATAAAGTCTGACTAAGGAACTTCACATGGTATTTTATAGGCATTCAGTGGGCAGTCTTTATAAGTGTTGACCTTACACACAGCCTTAAAGGTGACCATTAATTTGAATCATCTAAAGACAATACAGGCAATTACCCCCAGACTGAAGATAATGGTACCCCCCAAATTGTCTAAACATCACATGGTCACACGAACTAAGACTATGTAAACATTCACATAGTTTGACTCTCAGTAGGAAGATCAAAGACTGACAAAAAAAAAAACCTTACTGGAAACTATATTGAATCTAATCAGTGAATTGATATTCACCTTACATGCCCAATACAGTGTAGTTCACCTTAGTTTTTCATATGATGTTATGTAAGACGTAGGATGAGCAGATCTTAAAAAGATTCTTAAATTTGTAACCCCACACCACCCTTCCAGAGTCTCATCCCATTATGTCTGCTATTCCCGAGTCTCGTCCCGTCATGGCCGCCATTCCCGAATCTTGTCTCAAGATGGCCAGCATTCCCGAATCTCGTCCCAAGACTGAGCCCTCAGTCAAGATGGCCGCCACCACGCCTGAGCCCTCGGTCAAGATGGCCGCCGCCACCACACCTGAGCCCTCGGCCAAGATTGCAGCCGCCACTTCTGAACCCTCGGCCAAGATGGCCACCGCCGCCGCTTCTGAGCCCTCGGCCAAGATGCCCGCCAAGATGATGTCAGCCAAGACGACTCCAGTCCCCGTCCAGAGTCCCGAGATGACTCCAGTCCCTGTCCAGAGTCTCGAGACGACTCTTGTCCCCTTCAAGAGTCCGAAATTGACTCCAGTCCCTGAGCCCGCTCCAGCCCACAAGCTTGCCTCAGAATTCCTCCTGGCCTACAAACACCTAGCTCTCCCAAAATAAAATGTGGTGGGGGGGTTATATGCCCACTGCCATAGTAGCATAGCAGAGCATGGGTCCCTGGGAAAGGCCACGAATCGTATCCTCCCGGATCTCCCGAGTTGCCGGCTACGCCCTGGTCTCCCGAGTTGCAGGCTCCACCCTGGTCCTCTGAACCGCAAGCACCCCTCTGGGCCCCTGAACCGCCGGCCCCGCCTTGGGCCACTGAACAGCCGGTGCCACCCAAGTTTTGTTATTCATGACTTTTCCCTCTTTTACACTCTGTATTGGCAACAATTAGGAAACGATAGTTTCCTATTAGGCCTACAACTAGGTCTACTCATCATTTCAAGGTAATGTCATCCGGACTAAACTGTCATGCTAAAAGTGTGTTGTTTTAATAAAGGAAGTTTTAGGCTTCATTTGGAGAAAAAAAGAATAGCCTTCAGTTACATCCTCGCTAAACCCTGTCATTAACATTTTTTACACCAACTCACCACATGAGGGAACCATCGGCTGAGCTGTACCACATATAAGGGCCTGGACCTCCCCTTTTACTTTGTGGAGTCTTGTATCTTGTTAGTGCATTACTAAGCTTTATTTCCACTGCGGATATATCCATGTTTGACCTTGCTTCACTTGTGTTTACCCCTTTTCCTGTTCATTTGGATTGTTTGCCTGGTTGGACTGTCTTACTGGATTGAACCATGGGCGTCGGAAGATAAAAAAAAGTGGGTGGGTCCTCCCCCAGAAAAATGTCACTGGAGTAAATGCCATTTCATGTATTCTGGTGCCTTTTAATTAAACAAGTAAACTAAACTCCGCTTCACGTCGTGCATTAAATGCACAGATATCCATGGATTATCCCACTGCTGATACCATGGTCATTTGCCAGCATTGACAACTTAAAGCTGTTATTGATGTTTGCAACGCAATATTTTGACTGAAAGGGTACAGCGGGCAGTTAATTTCGTCAGTTGCGGGTCGTTGAGAAATAATATAATGCAGCGATTCAGTTTATCAGGGCATTCCTCTAAGTGGAATGGATTTGAATGACGGCGCTCCGGAATGCGAACAGACATATGCGCTGAATTAGAGACAGTAAAAGTGAGTGGGTCCATGATATCATTGGTCTTAAAAAGTGGGTGGGTCTTGTCCCACCCATATACAATGGTTCCGACGCCCATGGATTGAACCTCATCTGTCTTCCGACCCTGTCTTCGTATTTGCCAAATAAATACTCAGCTCATGGATCCCGCTGTGCCTCCTGAGTCTTCATTTAGTGTGTAATAATGATGCAATCTTGTATTCTTATTGCTGACCTTGTTTGAACTTGAATTAGATAGAGGAAATAGAGTCGATTCCATCTAGTGGGAATCCAAGTCGACTCAGAAAAACCTAATATCTCCTCAGATTGTTCTGATCCATCTTATTTTTATCGTAAAAGTCGGACCAGACATTTTTCCCTTGAATATGCAGTTTCATGTCAGATGTTTCCAGTTATTTTAGCTGTGCAAAAACATGCTCATGAACATGCTCATGAAGAACACTACACCAGTTTTGAATCCCTGGACAATTTAACAAGACAACAAAGAAGCTTTTTCGGAAAGAGGTGAAAGAGTAAGCTATTAAAAGTAGTGTGGTATAATATAAAGAAAGAAGGAATTAAATAAGACCACTCTGATAAGTGTAAGATTTAAATCCCACTGTATATCATGTGTGTAATGTTTGTGACTTGTTGATTATGCTTTTTCATAGTAAAACATACTTGTACAGCATGCTTGATGTCAATAACAATGGCTTTTACTGAATGATATTGGTTTACTTAGTAAAGATCTGACCCAGACATCAACATAGTGTCGGCCCAGATCTGGAACATCTGGAATATGTGGATTCCACTGGTGTGGCTGTCTGGGGAACTGCACCTGGCAAAGTCATCCTGTGGAGGAATGAGCTGTTGGAAGAGGGGCAGCTGGTAGAGGTAGATGATAAGGATGTGTCCTCCACTGAAGATGGTCATCATTACACACAAAGAGCTGTAGTGCAGCAGAGAGATGGTGTAGTCCAATACCCAGCACCACACAAGGCCAAGAAACACCATGAAATACAGTGCTGACGTCAGGGAGGGAAACGTTATACCTGTCAAAATATGAAACATCATTGACTGCATCTATAGATAATTTTCCAGAATGCATGCACACACTCATCTCTATATGCATTACCTGCCAGTCCTAATAGAACAGTAACTAAAACTTTTCCAGCAGTGTTCATTACAGAAGACATGAGGAGTATCAGACCAGTCATAAATATGATGAGTTTCTGCAGAACGTCGGGAGAGGAGGCAGGAGCGGTGTGGCTCTCAACAGAGGTGTCAAAAGAGGAACCCTCAGACATTCCACTCTCCCCTTCATATTCTGAGTCTGAAATCTCTTCTCCGGAACCCTGTCAAATAAGGACACATGACAAAAGCAGCCAACACTAAAAATGGAAATAAAATAAATACAGCAAAAAAAAAAAAAACATTATTCCTTATAATCATTTATGTTACAACACAAAGTAGCCAGTACATTTTGGACCCAGACTCCTTGATCAACTGGCCCAGGTGTGTTTGATTTGACTCACAGAAAGCTGGACCTGCAGCAGAAGGACTGAGCAGAACCGCTCTACAATAACAAGACTAGCTGCTCATTACCTCAGTCTCGAAGAGCTGCCGGGTGTTTTCACTGTGATGTGGCTTCTTGGGCTTACACCGGCGAATGATGAACAGTGTAGACAGGAAGACAGCAAAATCTGGCATTAGCAGACGTATTATGTTAAGTGTGTCCACATCGCTAAACCTGGAAAGAGTTAAAAAAAAAAAGTTTCACTTACAAAAAGCAAATATGGGATGCATGGTTTTCTGCTTAAAGGACAAGTTCAGTATTTTACACTTGAAGCCCTGTTTTAAGATCGTTTCTGATGAGATAGAACGGTTAAGATTGAAATTTGGACACATGCTGCTGGCCCGAGAATTTTCGGTTTCTGTGGTAGCACTGGAACAATCCTTCATAAAACGCATTAAACTTTCGTTTACAAAGACATGAAACTCACCGAGTGGTCAGGGGTGTTCACTGATATGCTCACACAAAAATCCCTGCAAAAGATGCTTTGCAACAGGTTTTATCGTAGTCTTTGTCCAACTCCATTGACTTGTATTGGATGTGCTGTGAGGTACGGTGTGATGAGGGGGGCGTGGTTTTAGCGCCGTCTGTAGTGAGAGACAAGTCAGAGGGCGCGGCGGTGAGTAAGTGGGTCAAGTGCAAATGATAAACACCTGTGTCTGATTGCAGTGATTGGCGTGGGGAGACGGATAAAAACCACAAAGTGAGAGAATGAAGGGAGAGAGGAGGACTGGCGACTCGTGCGTGAACAGTGTGGAAACTGGGACAGCTGAAAGCAGCGTGGAAGGAGTTTATCTAAAGCTGTGGAGGACGTTGAAGCTGAACCAGCGTGGGAAGAGTTGTTATTGGAAATATTGTGTTGCTGTAGTAGGACTACGGTGAATGCGCTGTGTGCGCCCGATTTATTATTTTTGTTGAAAAATAAAAACGTACGAGTCCCAGTCTCGCCGACCCTGTCTCCTTCTTCCTCCATAAAGACGAACTTTGTTACACTGGTGCCGAAACCCGGGAAGAAGGAGATCGGCCGCCGCCATGCAGAACCCGTCAGGAACGCCGTTTGCGGACATCATCCAGTCACTCGCGGCTCTTCAAAGAGACCAACATCAGGCCCTCCTGAGCGTTAAGGAGGAGCATGAGCGGCGCTTTCAGGCGCTGCTCCAAGGGCAACAGGAAGACCGCAAGTTGTTCCGGAGCTGTCTGGACCGGGAGACTCCGGCCAGCCCCCCTCCAACATCAGACTCGGCCTCGCCGCTCACCTTGTCGAAGATGGGTCCAGCTGATGACCCGGAGGCGTTCTTGGACCTCTTCGAAAGGATGGCCGAGACCCGGGGCTGGCCCAGGGCAGACTGGCCACTGCGTCTCATCCCGCTGCTGTCAGGGGAGTCGCAGGTTGCCGCCCACCAGCTGCCAGTCGCGAGTCTCCTGGTCTATCAAGACCTACGGCGCGCCATCCTGCAACGGGTCGGTCGGACCACGGAACAGCATCGCCAGCGCTTCAGGTCTCTGACACTCGACGAGTCCGGCCGGCCCTTCGTGATGGCGCAACAGCTCCGGGACTCCTGCCGCAAATGGCTGATGGCCGGGGGAAGCGACGTCGAGCAGATTATCGACCAGGTGGTACTGGAACAGTTTATAGTGAAGCTCCCCAAGAAAACTGCACAGTGGGTCCAGTGCCACCGCCCGACGTCGCTGGACCAGGCCATCCAACTGGCGGAGGATCACATGGTGGCGTGCTCTGGGGTCGGCGAAACCCTTCCATCTGTCTCTCTCTCCCCCTCTCTCTCTCTCTCTCTCTTCCCCGGCCTCTACCCCCTCCCTTTCTACTAAGCCTGTCCCCCTTCCTAGGTCGCGAGGAGGCTTCGCACCCAGACCAGCGCCGAGGTGGAGGTCTGGGTGGTCCGGTGACAATGGCGCGGCCGGGAGGACGGCGACGAGGGGGACACCGGCTGGGGAACTTTCCACCCTGGCGCAGCTGGCACCTCTCTCCCCACGTCAATCCCTTGGCCCAATTCCTGCCGCTGGAACAGCGGTAAAACCTGGGCCGGCCTGTTGGCGCTGTGGGGACCCGGGCCACTTCATCGACCGGTGCCCGGTGATGGAGGTGGGGACACTGGTTCGGGTCCCCGACGCGCCAAAGGCCGCCCCCGATCAAGCCGGCCCGTACCAAATACCAGTGAGTATAAAGGGGGGTACTTATCAGGCTTTGGTGGATTCAGGATGCAACCAAACCTCTATTCATCAAAGCCTGGTTCGATCTGGGGCATTGGATAACAGCCGCGTGGTTAAGGTGCGGTGTGTGCACGGGGTGGTGGTGAGTTATCCCTTAATGTCGGTAGAAATTCTATTTAGGGGACAAAAACATAGTGTGGAAGTTGCAGTTAACCCGCACCTCCGGCATCCGCTAATCTTGGGAACGGATTGGCCTGGTTTCAAGAAATTATTGGGGGTTTTATGTGCGGATGTCTCTTGGGAAAAGAAGCACCAGGGGAAGACAGCGGTGGTTCAGGTGGGGGATGCTGTACCGGGGCCTCTGGGTACTGCTGTAGGGGAAGAGAGCACTTTGGAGGGAAATATCCTCTCCGAGCGCGATGATTTTCCCCTAGAGCAGTCCCAGGATGAGACGCTAAAACGCGCGTTTGACCAGGTCCGTTCCATCGACGGTCAGCTACTCCACCCGGAGCAACCGCTCTCTTACCCCTATTTTTGTGTGCTCAAAGATAGGTTGTATCGGGTGACCCAAGACGCCCAGACAAAGGAGGATACAACCCAGTTGTTAGTACCAAAGAGCCGTCGGGAAATGCTTTTCCAGGCGGCTCACTGTAATCCGATGGCCGGTCATTTGGGGCAAACGGCGACACTAAACCGTCTCATGGCCCGATTCTTTTTGCCGGGCATTCACGAGAACGTGCGCAGGTGGTGCGCGTCTTGTCGTGAATGTCAGTTGGTTAATCCACCGGCCAACCCAAAAGCACCCTTGTGCCCCCTTCCGCTGATGCAGGTCCCCTTCGAACGAATTGGTATGGACCTCATCAGGCCATTAGAACGGTCAGCACGAGGGCATCGTTTTGCGTTAGTCTTGGTAGATTACGCAACACGATACCCGGAAGCAGTCCCGCTTCGCAATATCTCCGCTAAGAGTGTGGCAAGCGCGCTGTTTTCTTTAATCTCCCGGGTGGGGATCCCTAAAGAGATCCTCACCGATCAAGGCACGGCGTTTATGTCACGAACGGTTCGCGAGCTTTACGAATTGTTGGGCATTAAATCGATTCGCACCAGCGTCTATCACCCACAAACGGACGGCCTGGTCGAACGGTTTAATCGTACGTTGAAAACCATGATTCGTAAGTTCGTTCACGAAGACGCCAAAAATTGGGATAAATGGTTGGAACCCCTTCTGTTTGCTGTACGCGAGGTTCCCCAAGCCTCCACGGGGTTTTCCCCCTTCGAACTTCTTTTCGGTCGCCAGCCCCGTGGGGTGTTGGATGTACTGAGGGAGGTTTGGGAGGACGGACCGTCCGCTAGTAAGAACGAAATTCAGTATGTCCTGGACCTGAGAACAAAACTCCACACATTGGGGCGGCTCTCTTTGGAGAATTTGTTACAGGCCCAGGACAGACAGAGACAGCAATACGATAGGGGGACTAAACTTCGTCAATTCGCACCGGGAGATAAAGTACTTGTATTACTTCCCACGTCCAGTTCGAAATTACTCGCAAAGTGGCAAGGGCCTTTTGAGGTCACACGGCGAGTTGGTGATCTCAACTATGAGGTAATTCGATCGGATCAGGGTGGGGGACGTCAGATTTACCACCTCAACCTGCTTAAAAAATGGGTTGAGGCTGACGCAGTGATGCTGGCGACGGTGGTGACTGGAGAGGAGGATCTCGGGCCAGAAGCGAATATCAAATCCCAGTCATTCGCTCTGGCTCCCTCTGGTGATCACCTCTCGCCCTCGCAGCTCACTGACATCACAACCTTACAGGCAGAATTTGCCGATGTGTTCTCGCCCCTGCCTGGTCGAACGAACCTCATTCAGCACCACGTTGAGACAGATCCGGGGGTCGTGGTACGTTGCCGCCCGTATCGTTTACCTGAACACAAAAAGAAAACCGTTCAGGCCGAATTAGAGACAATGCTGGACATGGGGGTCATAGAAGAGTCCAACAGTGACTGGGCGAGCCCGATCGTTTTGGTACCCAAACCTGACGGTTCGATTCGGTTCTGTGTGGATTATAGGAAGGTGAACGCGGTGTCTAAGTTTGATGCGTATCCAATGCCCAGGATTGACGAGTTGCTTGATCGGCTTGGTTCTGCTCGCTTTTATTCGACGCTGGACTTAACAAAAGGTTATTGGCAGATCCCCTTATCTCCAATATCTAAAGAAAAAACAGCTTTTACCACGCCGTTCGGATTGCACCAATTTGTCACACTTCCGTTCGGGTTGTTTGGGGCACCGGCGACTTTTCAGCGTTTAATGGACCGAATTCTCCGGCCGCATGCTGCATATGCCGCTGCTTATTTAGATGACATCATTATTTATAGTAATGTTTGGCAGCGTCATATGCAGTATCTGCGTGCTGTTCTGAAAACGCTGAGAAGAGCTGGGCTCACAGCCAACCCGAAGAAGTGTGCAATTGGGCGGGTTGAAGTAAGGTATCTGGGCAAATTGATAAGACTGCTGCGGTTGCGACCTGTCCGAGTCCTAAGACCAAAAAGGAGGTTAGACAGTTCCTGGGGCTAGCGGGATACTATAGACGGTTTGTTCCCAATTATTCGGACCTCGCTAGCCCGCTGACTGATCTAACTAAAAAGGGCGCTCCAGATACGGTTCAGTGGACGGAGCAATGCCAGCAGGCTTTTACCAACATAAAGGCTGCTCTGTGCGGCGGACCGCTTTTGCATGCTCCTGACTTTTCTCTCCCTTTTGTCCTACAGACGGATGCCTCGGACAGGGGTTTGGGCGCGGTCCTGTCCCAGGAGGTGGAGGGGGAGGAACGGCCGGTGCTGTACATCAGTCGGAAGCTTTCCAAGAGAGACGATGTACAGCACCATAGAAAAGGAGTGTTTGGCCATCCGTTGGGCTGTCCTCACCCTCCGATACTACCTCCTGGGCCGAGAGTTCACCCTGTGTTCGGACCACGCTCCCCTTCAGTGGCTCCACCGCATGAAAGATACCAACGCGCGGATCACCCGGGGGCTGCAGGCCGGACGGTTCCCCGGCCTGAGTCGGGCGGTGGGGGTATGTGATGAGGGGGGCGTGGTTTTAGCGCCGTCTGTAGTGAGAGACAAGTCAGAGGGCGCGGCGGTGAGTAAGTGGGTCAAGTGCAAATGATAAACACCTGTGTCTGATTGCAGTGATTGGCGTGGGGAGACGGATAAAAACCACAAAGTGAGAGAATGAAGGGAGAGAGGAGGACTGGCGACTCGTGCGTGAACAGTGTGGAAACTGGGACAGCTGAAAGCAGCGTGGAAGGAGTTTATCTAAAGCTGTGGAGGACGTTGAAGCTGAACCAGCGTGGGAAGAGTTGTTATTGGAAATATTGTGTTGCTGTAGTAGGACTACGGTGAATGCGCTGTGTGCGCCCGATTTATTATTTTTGTTGAAAAATAAAAACGTACGAGTCCCAGTCTCGCCGACCCTGTCTCCTTCTTCCTCCATAAAGACGAACTTTGTTACATACGGTATTACTCCCCGGCCGGAAATGGAAATGGGGTTGTTTCTATTCTTCTGCTTCTTCTGTGTATTCAATGAAATGCCAGTGGTTTGCTTGCAATTGGCATTATCGCCACCAACTGGGCTGGAGTGTCTATTATTCAAGCTCTCAACGGAAGAATGTGCGGGTGTGAGGCGTTTGGAAAAATAGGTCCACAGTTTTACAACGAATGGTAAAACACCTGTTGGAAAGCATCTTTTGCAGCGATTTTTGTGTGAGCATATCAGTGAACACCCCAGACCACTCGGTGAGTTTCACGTCTTTGTAAACTAAAGTTTAATGCGTTTTAGGAAGGATTGTTCCAGTGCACCTATGCAACCATTGTGGAGGTGTTCAACCAAAGTTCTCGGGACAGCAGCATGTGTCCACATTTCAATCTTAACCGTTCTATCTCATCAGAATCACAAGTCTTCAATCTTGTAAGCAGTCATTCAGCCCATTCAGTGGCTGTTTACACAACACCGTTTTCAACTAAAAACCTAAAACTTTTTATGGGTTTTGGACGTTCATTTACATGACAATGGCGCTTTGGGTGCCTGAAAACGCTAACTTTTAAAAATGGGTTTCAAAGTGGAAGTTTTTAAAAGCCGTCTCTGCGTGACGTGACTGTGATGTTTTCTGATCATAACGCACACTACCGTTTGCTTTGTCATCCGTAAAGAGTGGGTGATGTAAACGAGTGGATGTCTTGGTGTTTGCAGCACATGATTACAGTGTTTCTGAGCACAGGAGGAGCTACAACGTCAAATGTTTTTCACCCTTGTCACCTTGTCTTCCCTAATTCATCTTTGTATTTAAGTTTCTCTCTGTCTAGTGTTCATTGTCGGTTATTGTTTGTGTTATATGCACACTGTTTTGTATGTTGGCTTATCACGTTTGGAATAAATCCTCTTGTTATTTGAATCTGATTCATATTTGTCCTCATTTGGGAACCAAGCGTTACAACAGGCTTCTCCCTTTTAGCTCGGAGGAATCACTCGTTTAAACACTGCATTCTCATGTTTCTAAACTCTGTGGTGAAGTGCTTGTTCAAATTTATTAAGAAAAAAAAATCAAGGTATACTGCACATCTTTAAACAATGTCTACACTGGATTGTTGACCTGATTCTCTGGCAAATACAAATACAAATAAATAAATTATATATTTTTAGGAAAGAAATAGGAGTAGTATGCTATTATGTGGATCTGAATTCACCAATTGTCTTGTTCCCTTCATCTCATGGAACTGAGGTTTCATGCATAACCAGAGACGTTTCCTTACTTTGAAAAAAGAGGTTGAGAGGAAAAAAAAGAGGGGGAAAAAATGTTGATATTTTTGCTGGTTTTGAAAAATTATATTATACTTAGCACAGTTATTTAGCATTTTGAATGCCAGACTTAAATAAAATTGATTTTGAAATTGAAAGAATTCATGTTTCATACCTGACAATGCCGAGGTGAAAGTAGATGTTGTCCCATGGCCCAGTCACTGATGAATAAAAAGCACACATCATTATGCATAGATAATTTAGGGTAAATAGAAAACTTGACAACTTTTCAAAAGCTGATGAATATAGAAGCCCTTTTCCACCTCAAAGTAAGTAAAGTAATTAGGGACTTCTTGTAATCGTGACTTTACACTCATCCATTCATTCTCCTAACCACTTGTCCTGTGTAAAGGGATAATGACACACATACTGTATATATATATATATATAATCTAGAATTGTACAGGCTAGAATAGTGTAGAAAATAAGACATAGTGAAAGAACAGGAAGATTTTTTTCTTTGAGTCAACATCAGCAGGATTCAATTAAGTGGTCACATTTCTTGAATATTGCAAGTGACTGCCCACCACTGAGGAACAGTGAATGCGAATAATTATTCGAGTAATTTAATGCCTTTCTGTACTCCAGGCTTCTGCTGTGATCAAGGTCATTTGTAGAGGTTTGATTGCACAAGCTGGAAGTCCAGACAGAAGAGCACTGCTATAGTCCCGCATCCTCAGTTTAGGAACGGCTTGATCTTTCTAATGTTATGCAAAGCAAACCTTCAGGACCTCGCTGTTTTTGCATTGTGGTGTTTGCTGGTCTAGTGTTGTTCTTAACTAAAACTAAAGTTTATTAATATTAAAAATAATTTTCTTTTAAACAATGCTGAAATAAAAATAAAATAAAGCTAAAAATAAATATTTTGTAAAATAAACAAAGGGCAGCATATAACAAAATTACTCGAATTTTAATTAAAATGAAAAGTAAAACAAAAAAATAAAATAAAAGCTAATTGAAAAATGTAAATACTTTATAAATAATACTAAAATAACACTTGGTTGGTCAACTTTTGTCTGTTCACAGTTTGACTTTATCTCCTATCTTAAACTTTCACAATTACTTTTATATTTTTAACTGTGAGCTACTTTTAAGCAATAATAACAATACTTACACAAATAAGAAAAGATCTTACCGTCCTTGGGAATATATGTGAAGGTGATTTGCATCCCACACTGCAATGCCAAAAGTATTACTCCAGTGGAGCAAAGAGCACGAAGAAAACGGCCAGTTTTCCCTGCATATACAAACAGAAACAATTTTGCAACAGTCAATTCATTTTGATATATGATCTTAAAAACTTTCAGTGAATTCTAACATTACAATATTGTGAGAACATGAACGTGAATGACGCAACAGAGCTGCATCATCACGAAAGTTTAAGCCTTGACTAATTAAATATTCAAGTGCAAGAAGACACAAAAGGGAGCTCATTTCATTATTATAGCCCAGCAAATCATTAGTAGAGCCCAGACAGCTGCGTCTCATACAGTGCATGAATACTAAACTGAGCTCTCTTTCACGTCTTCTTGTGCTTGAACAGACACATTCACACAAAACTGTCAAAGCAATAATGAGTGTCCTAGTAAAAATAGTCGGTTATGTCTGAGGTGAACGTTAACAGCTGAAAAAGTAAAAGCATTTGTACAGAAGAAAAAAAATCACTTTTGTAAGTGACTTTTGTAACTTTAATAAGGATTACATTGCACTTCCTCAAATAAGTACCGAGTAACACTAATTGGTAACGCTTTAGATTACAGCCCGGAAAGTACTGCGTAATTAAAGCAATTTTACAGCGTAACCTTCTGTAATTATAATGTACCTATGAAGTACTTACAATATAAGTATAAGGGAACAATATTTTAAGTTTGGGGAATAAAGGGGTTGTAACGTGGTGCGGTGAAGGAAGATAGGAGGCTGGATCCAAACGCAGTTTACACGCTTTATTTAAACAAACTATAACTCAAACAGAGACTCAGAACGTGGAACAAGAATCTTTACACTGGGAAACCAACACTCACGTTAATCCTGAAACATATAACAACTCACAAAGACAGGGCAGAAACACAGGGCTTAAATAATCAAGTACAAACAAACTAACAGGATAACAAGGGGGCGTGGGAAAATCAGAAACACCTGGGAAAACTAATGAACAAGACAGGGAACCAAAGAACATGACAGGACACAAACCCACATCGTGACAGGGGTAACAACCAGGAGAATAAAAAAATTATTTATAAGTATTATAGAAATAAGGGGTACTTATTCTACTATTATGATATAACAATCTTACATTTGGGAGCAATTTAGCAAGAACATATACTGCGTACCTTTTTGAAATAATGGTGAACCACATTCTGTAAAAGCTTTTTAAAAATTACAGGGTACATATCTATGCATTTATAATGTAATCTTTTTAACAAAAGTGCACTGAAAATGAAAACTATTGCAACGTTTGCTTAAATATTGGGGAAAGACACTCTTGTTTCATGTAGTTACAGGGTAACAATAAAAATGCATGCACACAATCTTATATCACTGACTCGGAAACCTTTATTTATTATACAAGCACCACTTACCCTGTAACCACATGAAACCAGATATATTTCCCAGTATTTAAAAAAAATGCAATAGTCTTAGCTTTTCTTGCCTTGAAACATGTAAGCCAAAACTTAAACATCTGCACTTTTGCGATAAAAAAAAAAGTATAAATGCATAGATATGTACCCTGTGATTTAAAAAAAGCCTATACAATATGTATTGGTACACAATTATTTCAAAAAGGTACGCAGTGTGTGTTCTCGCTAAATTGCTCCCAAATGTAAGATTGTTGTATCATAATAGTAGAATAAGTTCCCCTTAGTTCTATAATACTTACAGTTTAAATATTGTTTTAAATCTCCTGGTTGTTACCCCTTTATTCCCCAAACTTTACATATTGTTCCCTTATACTTACATGTAAGTACTTTATAGGTACACTATAATTACTGAAAGTTACTCTGTAAATTCCTCTTAATTACACAGTACTTTCCGGGCTGTAATCTAAAGCGTTACCCACTAATTCACTAAATGTACTTACTAGTTGCAGTTAGGGTTAAAGGGTTACTGTCACTTTTATGTTCAGTTTGTTTTCATTAGTCACATGTTTTCTTTTGTTCAGTTTTCCCAACACTCTTTTTTTACCATGGTCACCTGTAATTTGGTTCAGCTGTGTTTTATTAATCATCCTCATTTGTGTTTGCTATATAAGTTGGTCCCTCACATCTCTGTCCGATCACCGTTACGTTAAGTTGTGTGTCCTATCAGTTGTCTGCCTGCTTAAGGAATTATAAAATTTTGAGTGTTTTGATCTTGATCTGTCTTCGTCTTCCTGCCTGAACACGAGTGTGACAGTCAATATAAAAAAAATTACACAATGTTTAAAAAAACGAAAGAAAAAAACAACGTTTTTTAGACCCACAGGGATGAGTTGGGTCTTTCTCGTACAGCTGAAAATCATTTCATGCCAGGTGAGGAAATGACAAAATCCACCTATAACACATTTAGTGGTCTTTCTCTAAAAAGGAACAGAATGCCTTGCGTTCACTATAAAAGCGAGGTTGATTCTGACTTTTACGGCTATATCCTGCTTCACTACATTCACTTCAATAGCTGACAGGAACAATTACTGTATCACAACAGTTCATGAACAGATTATGCCAGATCTAGATGGAAAATCAAGCAGAGTGGGAAAATAACTCTGCGAAGGGAAGCCAGAAACAATTACAAAAGAAACCCATATAGCATCTATTGCTATTTGTACTTAGTGAAATTAAGACAGACATAACAATATTTGTACTGTAATTTTACTATTGTTCTGCAAAATAAAACTAATACATATCTATTATAATACAATTTATTCTAAAACTATATTTAATAATACATATCCCAGCATATCGGGGCAGTGTAATAAATGTAATACTATTGTACTGTAATAAAATCAATAATAAATGTCTTATCTATATCTGTCTTTTAATGAACAAAACAGCTTTTGCAATAGCGTAAAGAAAAAAACATTACAAACCACAAAGTTTTTTATTGTGTTTGATAACATTTCTTGGATTTGTTGGATCTTGAATTTAATGCACTAAATGCATCTTGACTGTGGATTTATTTATTAATTTTTAACACTGCTGATTCTGTCTGTTAATCGTCACTGTTTGATACTTCCCCCACAGGATATTTAACATCATTAGTCCTTGTAAAAGTATGGGAAATGAGAATGCTGTATCATCTTGGTTGGATAAAGTGTTAGATTTTGATTATTTAGCAATAAATCAATTATATTTGTGAAAACACTTAGCTGATGCAGCAAATGTGTTACTGATTGCCTATTTTTTTTTCTAAAAGCTTTGTCATCTTTTTTTTCAGCTGAGACCTTATACAATTATACCATCCTTAACTTACATTTTACAGTAAACAGTGTGTGTGTATGTGTGTGTGTAAATTAGTTTAAAGCAAGGACAGAGGAAATATAGGGAAATATGTGAGAAATGTCTGACAGGATTATATGGATCTATAAAGCACTCAACCAAATGTCCACTTGCAGGTAATCTCTGTAGCTTGACTCTGCTGACAGCACAACTCTCTGGAATTATTGTAATGCATCATTGATGAGATGGCTAGACCTTTAACAATGTTTGCTGAATTGAGAAGAATACCAACCAAACATAAAAAAATACACTGTGTGCCACCACTATATATATATACATACTGCACACACACACATACACTACTACAGATTGTCTTTTGTCATATCTATAGGAAAAGCTGTCACAAAATATTACAGTATATTACAGTAAATTACCTTAAACATTACCTTGGTATAGACAAAGCATTACTGATTCTTACTTACCCTTCATAGTAGCCAAGTCTGGACTGGGCAACAGCGGCACGGACAGAAGGAAAAACAGATACACGACTGACAGCCCATTGTACCTCAGTGATATTGCTGTGGGGAGAAAAATAATACCGTATAAGTAAAGGAAAAAGTATAAGAGACTTAAGAATACATGGGTTATCATTTGGCATCATTATTCTATGTTTTTTCTGCTACCATGCTTTTTTAGTGGCAAAATTCTAGAAATAATTTCCCAGATGCAAGTTATTTATCGGCAAGAGCATATTTTAACCAAACATGAAAGGAAACGGCATGCAATGTGGTATTTTATTAATATACTTTCTCTTTGAAAATATTTGTTCAAATTATGAACAAAAAATATATATTCTTTCGAAATGTTAAATTAATTTAACTTACACACTTGAGTAATAATATTCCATACATTTATTGTAACACCAAATACACTGGTGCAAGATTTTCAATTCAAGTCGTTTTGTTTGAGGAACATCTTGGTAACGCCATCGCACAGCAATGCTTTATAAGTAGGGGTGTAACGGTACACAAAAATCACGGTTCGGTACGTACCTCGGTTTTAAAGTCACGGTTCGGTACGTTTTCGATACAGCAAAAAGTAAGAAATGCCAGAGAAATTTCCTATTTGTTAAAAGAAAAAATATTTTTTAAATAAGTGTGAGTTTTCCTACATCTTGAAACTTTCAGGTTTATAAATGGGTGTCATCTTTGAAGGATGAACAAATAATGTTTTGGTCATCACATTAAAAATAACATTTAAATATATGAAGAGTTCAGATGCAAAAGCCTTTTGAAATTTTCTTTATTTTTATCAAGCTTGTATATTTAAGTTCAGTAATTTCACTTAAATGGCAATGAAGATTACCTATTAATTGTCATTTGAGTGAAATTACTGAACTTAAATATACAAGCTTCATAAAAATGATCATTCTAGAAGAAAATTTCAAATGGCACTTAGAGGCTTTTGCATCTTAACTCTCCATATATTTATTTATATAATATTTGAGTTTTGAAGTGCTGGAAAAAGATGTGTGAAGTACTTGAAAGCATTTCACTATTCTAGCCAAACTGGTTACAGTTAGTGTTACTATATTAAATCCATGGTGAATGTTGGTCTGTGGACGTAAAGTATTACTAACTTAGTTAATTCACGGCACAATATTTCTCCTGGTGTCCACGTCAGCGCTGTTTGATCTAATAGAGATCTACGGTTAATAACGGAGAAATGTGAATGCTTCTCACTAGATCTCGCAGCGATGTTATTACTTCATTGGCGAATTCAAATGTTTTCTTTACTGGATCTCTTAGCGCTGTGTTGTGACAGTGTCGCTTGATCAAGATCGGCTCGCGCTGCACAGATGTTGCTGGTCCGAACTCCGAACTGATAAAGCACATAATGAGTAGCGCAGTTTCGTTCCGCTTTCTTTACGTTTGCCATTTGATGTTGCGCAACGTTGTGGTGGCCGCGCCAGCGCGAATTTTGTCGGTAGGAAAAATGGTCCAAGGAATCGTTCGGTTTGAATGCGTACCGAACCGGAAGCCTCGAACCGAAACGGTTCAATACGAATACATGTACCGTTACACCCCTATTTATAAGGATGCATGTGTAACTGCTATTTACTTGAATGTGGAAAGACCAAAGCCTGATTTAAAGACCAATTATATTTCAGCATTATTGAAATATCTACAACATTTAAAAAACACTTTTCAGGCTGGTCCAGTTAATGTGGAATTAACTCTAGAAAAAAGTTTAGACTTCTACCACAAGATGTCCATGGACTTATTCAGTCAGACATTTTTAATACACACACCGGTTTGGAAAATATGTGAGAAAAATAATTTTACTAAATGCTAGAATACACTACAAGGCTCTACACTACAAGTCAAGTCACCTTTATTTATATAGCGCTCTTATCAAAACAGATTGTTTCAAAGCAGCTTTACAGTGATAACAGGAAAACGATCAATGATGCAAACAGTTCATTTCGGCAGCTCTAAAAGAGAATAGTGTCATCGTCCAGCTCAGTTCAGTTCTCACACAGAAGAGTCAGTCAGATCAATAATACTGTTGAATATTTAGTGTCCCCAACTAAGCAAGTCACGTTGGACTTCAAGGCATTGAACACTTGCCGATTTTGTAAATGGTTACAGAGAAAACCTGGGCATCATACACTAAATGACTGAGGATTACACATTACCGGATTTTCAAAATATTCCCAACACAACAAACTTACACAGAAACACGAACCTCGTTGCCCAATGAAACAAACATACACTCATGGGCATAAAAAAATAGCCAAAACTGGCAAAATATTTAATGGTCTTAACCATAACCACAAATCAATGGTCAGGAAATTAGCAAGAATTATATACAAATACTAGATAAAGTAACTTAGTCTGGAATAGTCTTGCAGACAGCTTTTTACAGAAAGAAGAATCAGTGTTAATGGCTTCAAACAGTTCACAAGTAGCTGAAAAATGCCTCCCGGTTCGTTTGAGTTCAATTTGAGACCAAATATTCACTATATGGGTCAAATCTGGACTCTTGACAGGCCAGAAAATGAGCCAGATGGACTTGTTCTCAATCCAATTCTTGGTTGTCTTTCCAGTGTGGGCAGGAGCAAAAACAACATCTGATCATTCCTCTTTAGGTAACGAGTCTTTCTGCAATATTCCCCTGTACCTCTAAGCATTAAATGACTTGTCACAGTGAAGCAGCTCTCATATCCCAGCAGCTGAAAAGTCTCCCCACACAATGACAGCTCTTCCTCCATGCTTCTCTGTGGTATAAATGCATTTATTATTACATTTCTCCGACGATTTTCGAAGACACTGCTCTGGAGCATCACCATGCAACTCGTGTTTCATTTTGATTCATCACTTCACACACAACTTCCCATATTCAGCCAAAAACTTCATTCTGTCTTTGATGTTTTTCTGAGACAGAAGATAAAAAATTGGATTCTGTGCCTATCAACTCAGACTGGCACAGACCTTCGGCAACTATCCTTTACTCATCAGTAAAAATCTTAAAAATCTAAGTAGTCGTCGTGTAGTAATAAAATGATCATTTTGTTTGTTTGTATTATAACAAAATGGAAAAGTCTCTTCAAGTAATTTTAGAGGGGTCATGACATAAAAAAAAATATATTTGTTTTTATTTTAGAATTCAAGAGATAAATTCAGTCCTCATCATAACACAGAAACTGCGCTCGTTAACATTGCAAATGACTTCTAACCAAGGCTGCATCTCTATACTAGTTTTACTTTATTGTAGTGCTGCGTTCGACACTATAGATCATAAAATACTCTTTGATCGATCACAAAATTACACCGGTTTTCAGGGACAGGCATTAAGCTGGTTTAGATCATACCTATCAGACCGTTACCATTTTGTCTTTTGAAACGGGGAAAAATCTAAGATAATGTCAGTAAATAATGGAGTGCCGCAAGGGTCGGTGTTAAGCCCTCTGCTATTCTCAAAATATGTGCTGCCACTGGGTAAAATTACAAGAAAACATGGAATTAGCTTCTACTGTTATAGCAAAGATACTCATTTATCCAAGTTGACAGAGCGTGTTAAAGATATAAAATATTGGATGAGCAGTAATTGTGTTATAAGAGTGTTATATTAGACAGCAAAATCATATTTCAGATGTTACAAAAACAGCCTTCTTCCACCTCAGAAACATCGCTAAGCTCCGAAACATGCTCTCTTGTTTCTAGTATATGCATTTATGACCTCCAAAATGCAGCTGCTAGAGTTCTTACTAGGTCAAGAAAATATGATCACATAACACCAATTTTATCTACCTGATGTTACCTATTAAGTTCCCTATTGATTACAAAGTATTGCTACTGATCTATAAGGCCCTAAACGGTTTAGCTCCAGTGTATTTAACTAATCTTCTATCGCCTAACAATCCATCACGCTCTTTAAGGTCACACAACTCTGGGCTTCTGGGAGTACCTAGAATATCTAAGTCCACTAAAGGAGGGAGAGCGTTCTCACATTTGGCTCCTAAACTCTGGAATAGCCTTCCTGATAATGTTCAGGGCTCAGACTCACTCTCCCAGTTTAAATCTAGATTAAATACCCATCTCTTTAGCAAAGCATTCACATAATGCATCTCATAACCTTGTACTCCAGTTATATCAGATAAATTCTCACACAAGTTCAGAGCCCTTGACTTAGAGACTTTGGAGGGAGTAGGGCACTTGTGTGTCATAATGAAGTCATTTGGAAAGTACTTGGCGAAGGAAGCTATGAATACCACATCATTTCCCCATTAGCTTCACATGGAATGTGTCCACGACAAAGCTAGGCAGCGACTTGTCACCCTGCGTCACATGACCATAAACAATTAAATTACTTTTTACGATAACAGACTTGTGGAGGGGCCCTTCGTTCAGTTGTTCACTTTCGCCCCTACAAATGGCCTCCCCTTCTCGATAGTGCCCTTCAAGAGGAGTTCGCCCCAAATGCAAATTATTATCTTTGCTTGAAAAGTCATGAATAATTTGATCCATTCAATGTTTAATGTCTGTAAATACATGATTGACATCATTTCTTTTTTTTTTTTTTTTTTGCTTCCGATTAAATTACTTTTCCTAATTTAAGGGGTACAACTCGGTTAACACAAAATCAACATCATGATATTTTTTCAAAGTCCGGTAAACATTTTGTAGCATCTTTTGTAGCATCTTTGGAGTCAATTTCACCCCAAGCACTTTTAGCTGTATACAACTTAAGAAATGTCAAAATTTTACACACATTTATTTTGGTTGTTTTGAATTATATTGAGGTCACTATAACATACTAAATGCCTGAGTGAGTCTGAGACAGGTGATAATATTGAGAAAGATCTTGATTATTAGGTATCCTCCTCAGATGAGAAGTGTTGATCCTCCTGTTGTCTCTCAACCACCAGAAGACACATTACCTTCCAAAAATGGAAAGTTATTATGGTCCTGCTCCCCACTTGAACGTCAGGGTAGCCTTAGTTCTGCTAATGTCATCAAAATGGTCCTAGGGCCCACCAGATATGATGTCAGCCATGTGCAAGATCTACAAGTGA